ATGAGTGTTTGTGTAGAGGCATTTGAGGCCTCCTGTAGATGTGTGACTTCCCAGTGAAAGGATTTGTTGGCAGCACTTTGGCATTGCCAATGCATTCCCACTTCAGCAGTGGTACCCTTAACCTGAAAGAGAGCTTTTTACATGCATTTAAATACACTGGGGTATATGTCACACAATAGGATTTGGTCACTATCTAGGCCTCTCCTAGAGAAAAGTGCCAGATTATATATATTGGGTCAGGCTGACTAGAGATGGTCTGTGACCGCATCTAATACAGTGGCACCAACCAACACAGGAGGCTGTCTTTGGAATCCCTGGTAGAGTTTAAACCATTGGAAATCCCCAGGAAGGGGGTCACCATCTATCCACTTGAATAGGAGGATGGATAGGAGGGGAAGCTGGCACTTTTGTGGTACTCCTCTGTGAGCTAAGGATCTTGTAAATGCCAGTTTACTGCTGATAAGCAACATGATTGCAATATCAGTGTGTATTGGAGAAGGCTTTCATTTGTATGTCCTCTACTCATGCTGGCCTCAGTGGTGAAATCCTATACATTGACAAGTTGCAGGATTAAGCTGCATCTTGTGGTTTTGCCCTTTCTTTCATATTACTGCTATTGCATTGAAGCTGAGAGAAATGTCTTTGAGTGTTACAAGGTTAAGAATATTCCCAGGGGCAGTGAAAATATCCATTGTGTAAGACTTTAAAAAAGGAAAAAATACTCACCACTGCATGGACAGCAGAGGATTCTGAGCTGGTAGGAAATTGGTCCCTGTCAATTAACTGCAGGGATCAGTTTCCCTCACGTTTTTCCATTAGTTGCCCACTTTTGAATCTCCACAGACTTTGTGGAATGGTGTTTTAATCACTGAGGGAACTGATGATGTGCCTTTTGCCTAGAGGTTGATGGTAGTGACTAAAAACTGTCAAACTCAGTAGTCACAGGATATTATCATGTGATGCTTGTTTTACTGGCCGCTCTGAAAGTACGTGTCTGTGGTATCATCCTGATTGGACAGGTGTTCACACCACAATAAATTCTTCATTAGGCATCTTCTGTGATCATCAAAAAACTGAATGGGCCACAATGCAGCCTTAGCTTTGTGACAGTCACTCTGTATTGGGACTGAAACAAATTGGTGGGGCTATCCTATATTACCTCTGTTATGTGGATGAATTAAGGTTAGTCTCCAGCACTGTCAGACACCTGTTGACATCCAGTTTGCAGCTTGCTAGAGCCTAAATTCTGAAAGGCCACATTGTTGTCTGTCTTCTTGATGACTGTGTTAATTCTTTAACTGTATTAAGTATGTTGTACATGTTTTTCTTTTAAAAAGGTATGAGAAGGAAAGCCACAAATCTCTCTCTCAGTGCTGGCAGCACAAAAAGGTCTTTTTCAGGTAATAAAGTAACCATCATTTCCTACCAATAATCATTAATTCATATTGTCAGGAAATCCAGACTCTCAGCATGCAAAGGTTTATAATTAGTGCTAATTTGAATAAGGCACAGTTGTTCCCTTTAACTGTCACTATCCACCCTTCAGTAATTCCCTGCATTCCCCATTCATTGCATGTTCATATGCAAAAAGGGATGACGGTTTTGTATGGCCACTGTACATAGTTATCACACTGGTTTGTAAGCAGCTGCTTTCTTAATACCATCCTAGATGTTCACATCTACATAGTTACAGATCAGGAAGAAGCAGCTTGTATACTCAAGTTAAACTGTAACTCCACTATGTATGTTGTAGGTTCTGCAGCCTGGACTCAGCGTATGGTGTTTTCTGCATCTACTCGTCCCAGGGATTACCAGCAGCATCTTTTGATTCCTGATCCTAAAGGTAGCAATGTAACAGCAGGAACCACTCCAAGGCCAAAGACTGTGAGTAATGGTGGATTTATTAACAGGAGAATGGAGTAGGGCTTAGTTAGGGATGCTGTTAGATATCATTAATAGGTTCCTTCAGAGGGGTGCCTTTAAGTCATGGAATGGGGAAGATGAAATAACTGCAGACTTCTTATACCTGACTGCTGTCACAACAACACTCCCAATTCACTGCTAACTAGATTATAGGGATTTGGTGGGCTTCTAGCAGGCAATGTGCCAGGGAGGACTTCCTAGAAGATACTGGGCCCATGCAGGCCTAGGGATCACTTTGTAGAGCAGGCTTGGTTGCTGAATGTGGCAAATCCTGTCATGAACCAACCTGTTCCACAAGCCATCCCTACTGCCACAACCCACTTTTTCTTTAGCTTTGGGAGCACCAGGAGAAAAATGTGGGCCCACAAATGAAGTCTGGACAGGGAGCAGAGCGAGAGGCATCTGCCTGTACTTAGGTCTAATACAGGTGTGTCTATTCAGAGTTCAGTACTGGAGCATTACAACCAAATCACTTACACTTACAGGTGCCCAGCAGATGGAGGGAGAGAGGGGTGGATACTCTCTTTCCAGATCTGCCTGAAAACTCTCACCGTGCCATCCTCCTACAGTTGCATGAACAACAGCTGGCTCCAAAGTGAAGCAAAATGGATTTTTAGTTAGATGAGAGGGCTCTGGGTTTACAGAGCCAAAGGGATGTACAAATACCTAGCAATGTGTGCTCTGACAGACAGCCCTTTGCTAGCATGAGCTGGCAGTTGATGGAGTCATTTTGTGTTATAAACAACGTATGTATCTGGCAATAAAATGGAGATCTATTGGAACACTACCCACACTCACTGATCTTCTATGACATTTTTAGTTACGTGTTGGAGCAAATCATTCTAACAGTCAGTTGTGTGGAGGTGGTGAACTTCATTTCCTTTTGTGGCTTAGTGGGTAGTGGTGTGAATGGACAGGGTACCAGCAAGTCTGTTTTGTATCAGATTAGATGGGAAAGTTTGCTTTGTTTCACAATAGTAAGCTTGCAGTATAGCAGCGCTAACTGAATTCTGAATATAAACACTACTGTTTTTTTGGTGAGGATACTTTGAACCCTGTCATAATTGCAGAGAATGAAATCCATCACCACCTTAGCGCTGTTTGCTAAACAGCAGCTCTTTGCCATTAGAAGTTGCTGGGCTACAGACTAGTATACAGGGAACCTTTTCATAAGGCAAACTGACTTGTTGTTCATCCTGGCTTTATTATAACACTAGGTCAATTTTCTGAGGTTTAAATTAAGAAATTTGGTTTGTAATCACCAGGGATCTGGGTTTTCCATTACTGTGGAAAAAATGTGGATTTTCCTATTTAAAGGACAAGACCATGGGAAATAGAGGGTTCCCCTTGCAGGCTGGCAACCTTCCAGCCTGCAAGTTGCTGCTTGGGGCTGCGGGGAGTGGGGGGGGGATTGGAGGCAGGGGGTGCCTTGTGCATGTGCACACACACATGACCAGCATACAGCCAGGTGGCATGGTGGGAACAGCCTGGGCACCTGGATGCAGGTAAGTCTATGGGAGTGGGGGGTTGGAGGGCCAGGGTTTGGGGACTGTCCGGGGGGATGGGTGTGCATGGGGGGCAGGGTGCCTGCCAGTGCTGGGGGAAAGTGTCCAGGCACTAGGGCTGCGGTGGGGTAGGGGGGGCTGGGGCAGCACTCGGTGTCTCCAGCAAGCCCAGCTGTGTACTGTTGCCAGCTGTGCCCACCCAGAGGCACCTGTCCCTCCAGTGGGAGAAGGGGGTGCCCTTTGGGAATGGCAGAGAGCTGCGTGGCTGGGTTGGTGGCATTAGGGACCCATGCCTGTGCTCTCAGGGGTAGGGTGGGACAGCAAGGAGATGTTGCCCAGTGTGTGTGTGGGGGGGGGGCATAGCCAGGTTGCCTGGCACAGTAGGGGAGTCCCAGCCTGGGGCAGGGGGTGCCACAGGCCTCTGCTGCTTCTCCCTCCAGCCCATGCTGGGGTCGGACTTACTCTGCCTCTCAGACTGGGCAGGATGGGGCCTGGAGCCCTACTCCTGCTGCCTGCAATGTGGCCAGGCCACAGCCATACTCCACTTCATGCTGCTGCTGTGGAGTGTGGCACTGGTCCTCCCTGCTATGCTGCAGCTCCAACCCCAGCCTGCAGTGCAGGGCAGTGTGTGGTTCCCCAGCCACTGCTTGTGGTTACATATGAAGTGCACTGCATACACCTCATGGTAGAGGCTGTCCCTGCCATGTCCCCACAGACCACTGTCCTATGAGTCCATGTGGGCCTGGGTGGGGTGGGGGCAGCTGGGGCCCCCCTCCAGCAGGCCTGGAGGCTGCTGGTCAGGAGTGAGGGGCACCAGCAAGGACAGGGAGCTGCAGGTTGGGAGTGAAGGGTGCCAGCATGGGTGGGGGCAGGAGGGCTAGGAACTGTGGGTTGGGAGTGAGGGGCTCTGGTATGGCCAGGGGGAACTGGGTCAGCAGTGAGAGGCACTGGCAGGGCTGGGCTGGGGTGGGGCAGTGGCTTGGGAATGAGGGGCAACAGCATGGGTAAGGGCAAGGCACCAGCACATCAGGGCTACTCACAGTGCCACAAAGCAGTAAGGGGAACAGCTGCAGCTGGACCTGCATCCTGGTGAGCAAAGGGGGCAGGGAGAGCTCTGATAAAAAACCAAAATCAAATGCCAAAATATATAGGTATTTAGAATTTATTTTATTATAATGATTGAGGCACTGGTAGATTTACAATTTTAAAAGTAATTTGGAAGCCTATCTATAAAGCATTGTGTTAAACTGATACAGGATTTGGATACTGATATGTATGGGTGTTTCATTATAATTGCAGAAAAACATGGATTTGGGGGTTTTTAGTCAGAGAATTGGGAATTTTTATCAGAGAATTTGCCATTTTTAAAACGGAGAAGACCAGGATCCCTGGTTGGCACTTGCTACTTCTTGCAGTCCAATGCCACCCCTACCAAGATGAGTGGAGGTGGAAAACCAGCTGAGGGAAGTCATGCCTGTTTCTATTCCTGGTGTGGGGGAAAGAAGAGAAAAATAAAATAAAGATACCAGCTATCTTTCAGAGCTGTTTAATGAATAAACATCTCTGTGGCTGTAGAGGATAGGACTAGAAGCAATGTCCTCAAGTTTCAGTAGGGGACATTTAGGATGGAGATTAGGAGGATCTCTCTCAAGCACTGGAACAGCCTACCTAAAGAAACTGTAGAAATCACATTCTTGGAAGTTTTCAAGAGCCAGTTGCTGGACTAAAATGACATTGTAAGGTCTCTTCCAGCCCTACTTTCCTATGAACTTGTCTCCAAAGCCATAGTGACATTTTTCTCCGAAGAGGGGTGGATTAGGGACCTACTCTTCCCTTCAATTAGGCAGTTTTTAATTGAAATATTCATTGTTTCCCTCACCCTTCATTTAGCAGCAGCTGCTTAGTTCCTTTTGCAAGAATGCTTTTCTTGATCCTGTTGGAAGGGAACAGCTGGGTTCTGCTACAGGAGTATCATATGAGGATGTCCAATATCCTAAACTTAATTAAAGCAATCAGACCATGCAAAACTGAGTTCAATTGCACAGTTCTTCCATTTAACAATAACTTGAACAGCTATAACAAGGTATGTCATACTTCAGCAAGAGTGTCACTAACTGATGCATTATTCACTAATGAATTGCCAAGCAAACCTGACTGCAGTTTAGTGGTTGAATATATTGACTTGGGACTGTCCAAACTTCCAATTAAAACAAGCTACACTTTCATTAAGTGGGAGTCATTCTCTTGCAGTTCTACTGGGTTTGGATTAAGTCTGGTGCTGATAAATATTTATATGAGTGACTTGGAAACTAAACATAAATGTAAGATAACATGAGCAGTAGAAGGGTAAAATATAGAGCAGGCATGCAGTGCTATCAAGGCTGTTTGGTTAGGGTGGGTGCCCAAGCCATACATGTAGGATCAGGGGTAGAAGGAGAACATTGAATGCAGGAGTATAGTACTTCTCCAGTGGACAAGCAACTCATGATTTGCTGTCAGTGCAATGCTGTGACAATTCTTGGTTATGTAAATAGGAGAGCAGTATACATAGTTTAAGAGGATGGTGAAAATACCTGGAAATAGTGAGGAGCCAGAAAAATAACTTAAGCACTGGGGGGAAGAAATGCCTTCCATTGATAGTATGATTAATCAGGTTAGTTTATCAGGCAATCATTAAGGTGACTTCATTAGGGTGTAACTTTTTAAAACCAGCATTTTCTGTTATCAAACAGGCTCTTCAATAACTACGGGTAAAGGTAAAACTGGATGAAAGTGGAAGCCAAATTATTTAAAAAACAAAAACAAACCCAAAACAACCCCTGCCCCCAACCACTGGAGCAAGCTGTTGTAAGGAAGTGCTGAATTCTCTATTCTTTGCTGCCTTCAAAACAGACTTGAATGCTTTTCTGGAAGATGTTTCCAGTCAAATACAGAAGGAATGAGTGAGTGAAGTTTCTGTAACTGCCTCTAGATCAGTTCAAAACCACATACTTAATGACAGTGTTACTTACAGAATCTAAAGAGCAAAACATGGCTGGAAGTAAATGTTTGACAAGCCTACACCAATTAGTTTTTTA